CCCCAAAACCCCAAAACCCCATAAGGGATCAAATATATTGATATGATGATTTAATATTTCGCAAAATAAATTTAGGCTATTAATGCAGATATTTTATAAGTTCACTAGAATTATTTTCGTATCAAGCAACTATTGTTCTAGTTTTAAAGCAGGATCTTCTATTCTTTCCTAGGTTCAATGATCTAATTGTTATTGAAATTTATTTGATGCTAGTTTTTAGTGTTTTTTTGCAAAGGCATCTATGCAGATTATAATGGAATTTCAATATCTTTGATAATTGATATGCTTTTTTGTTATTAATGTGCTTCATTAGTATTTTCTTTTTCATGATTATTTCTAGATAGATTCAATGAAATTATATTTGCACATACTTTTGGGCCCTCGGATTATCTTATACTATCTATATGCTTATCCATATTTTTATCGCTTTCATATTAAGTTCTAACATTTGAGGATTAAGTATTAAATAAAGTAACTTCATTATCAAGCTTCATTTGCTCTTGCTGCTGGAATTGAGATATTCTTTTCATTTAGTAGTTTTCATCTTAATTTTATTTTTGTAGTATTGGGGTTAACTATGGTCCTAGGCTTGTAATTTTATTCAAACTTTTTTCTCTCGCTATACTTTTATTTTGCCTAGGAGTTTTGTTAGCACTCAAAGTAAGATTTTGCTTACTTTTTTCAATGTTCTGGATTTTTCTATTCTTTTCTTCAATCTTTTTTATCAATCTGTCTTAATTTTACTACATTATTACATTTTTCTTATCAAGCTGCTTGTTGGCTATAGGTGTTTTTTGTAACATGAAAAATGATCCCTTTGATTAAGATTTTGAATTTGATAATTATGGTTTTAATTGATCTTTGTTATCTTTAGCAATATTTTAGGAAGATTAGACTTGTTTGGCTTGATTTTCTAGCTACTTAACTTTATTCTAGAAGAAATTGGCTTAATTAATGTTAAGTTATGAGGAAATGTCTTTTAATTTAGCATTAATTGATTTTTGGCTGCCAGTATGTTTTATACTAGGGTGGCTCCCATTTCTATTTATTAGATCTTCTTTAGACTTAAAACTTGATCTTGAGAAATTTGACCTTTACTTTTACAGCAATGTTTTTTCTTAGTTTTAGCTTTAATATGGACTTTTGCTCGCAGTTTGCTAAATTGGACTATTTTATTAAGTTACTGATTATCTTGTGTTGTATTTAGTTTGAATTCTACCTTTACTTGTAACTTGCCTTGTCAAACTATTTGTTCCAGAGATTCTTAACTCTTATTCTGATGAATCTTTTTTGAGGTTTTGATAGGGACTGTTGAATTACTATAAGAACTTATCTGGTGATATACCTTAATTCTAATTTGATTTAGTGCTTAAATATTGTTGTAATGAAATATGATTATATTAGGGCACTTCTTATGTTTTTTTTGTTTAATTTTTATTATCAGAAATATGATCCTATCTTCGCAAGTTAGGCTATTTATTTTATTTTTGCTAATTTTAGTCACTTTCAATTAAGATAGCTGTTCGTTGCTATTCATTAATTTTTTATGTTTACTATCTTCTATGAGTTTAAATAACATCAAACTTTTTATTGATAAAAGAGTCTTTATCCAACATGAATTTAGATGTAAAGGGGGACTTCTTGTTCTTTTTCTCAGTATTCTAGGCATTTTTAACTTGCAAGGGCTTTATATTTATCTCATTTTTATTAAGTTTTGGTACATTTTCTGAAATTAAAACCTTTTACTGCTTATTTCCTGAATGATTGTCTTGCTTATTATTAATCCTGATATCCTTTAATTGGATATCGAAATCCATTACTTAACAACTATTGATTATTGGGGTATTCTAAATTGAATCAAATTAATTTGCATTCTAATCATTTGACTAACCAGACTTTTAATTAGATTGATAATATTGATCATTATACCTTGTTTGTTTTGGTGTTACATTAGAATTTTCTCTAAATTATTTTTGTTAATCTGGGAATGTCCTGGTCTAGTTCATTTTATTATGACTTAATGCAGAATCTATAGTTTTATTGAAGTTATTATTTAGTTCATCATCGATTTAAGTTTGCTAGGTGCTATTTGATCTATAGGATAATTGCTTCAGATCATCCTAAACTCTATAAACAATATCTTAAGCTTTAGATTGAACAAACTATCTGAGATTATCTTGAAATTCATCTTAAATTATATCTTTTGTTTTACACATCATAGGATCAAATTTCTAAAAGTCCTAAAGGTCAATTTTCTGATAGCTTTTTTATTCTTCTCTCTGAGGTTTTTCATTCATAGGTGAAGGTATCTTTTGCAATTAGATTGTAAAATCTTTTAACTCAAATTCATCATATCTTTATTAAAATGGATTTATAACCTCTTCTTTCATCTTTTAGTATGCTCCAAGATTAATATTTACATTTCTCAATTTTCTACTGCTCTATTGGCTATTATTATCAGCTTTAGTTTTAGATCGTTCTGATGCTTGGTTAAGATATAATTTGTTGAAATCACCGCTATCAACATCCCATCTTTGAGTATTCTAGAACTGAGATGAGGAATCTAAAATTTATTCATTTAATCTATAGCTCTCTTAAGATTATGTAGGACATGCAAACTATTATAAGTTATCGATATTAACAGGAATTTCATTATTTCTGGGATTTTTAACTAAAATATCAAGCATCATTGCTACTTTATCATCAAACGAGCATTAACTATTTGGAACATTTTAGTTTACTAATGTTGATATTGTCGGAATATATTCATTAGTTTTCTGTGCGATATGATTTTAGATGTCTTTTCCTTATGGTTTACTTACCAATAAGTGGGCTCTATTTGTAGATGAGTATGACATACTCTAGCTTACTTAATTTAATCTTCTCTCAGTATAAGCATTTTTTAGACTTTACTATTCTCTAATTGGTTATGTTTATTATTGGGAAACTAAGTTATTTAAATTTAAAATTTGAGGTTATGGTGCATCCATTGATGAATTTTCTGTCGTTATTCTGATACTATTACCTTCATTTATTTGTTTTTACTAATTTTATCTACTTTAACCGAGAGAACAAAAGCTTCCTTTTCTTTAATGATTTGGCTTCATAGATTAATGACTGTCATTAGATCTATGAGTTATTGATGTACCTGACTAGAAGGTATTTAATTGATGACATTTATTGATCTCATCAAGCATCCTACCATATTTATCTTTTACAAGAGATCTGCATGTACTACTGCCACTCTCAGAGGTGATTTCTCTTTAATCTTCGGTATTTGTTTGATTTACTAAATGTGGGTTTTTATATGGATTCTAATAATGAGAAACTCGAGAGGTATGTAATTGACTTTTGTTTTTCTTATGAAGGTTAAGTGGACTGAAATTATCTTTGCTTTTTTAGAAGTTTGATGGTATAATTTCAGGGTCTTTTATTAATTTACTTTGGCTGCTTTAATGATTAGAGCTTTATTTCTAAGGTATGATTTATTGATTATGTTCCTAGAAAGGTTATCTAAAACTCAATTGATCGCTATAGGTGCCTAGTGTATACTAAATTCTTTGAATATCTTTTACATCATAACTCTTATTTATGTAATTCTATTGGTTTTTATTTGCAGACATTTATTGATTGAAGCTAGCTGTATTTTTGAAATTTTCTTCTTTAACGTTTTGAAAGTTCTCAATTTCATCCTATTATATCACACTTTCTTAAGCCCACTATTTAGAGTTGCTTAAGATTTGGGTTAGCTGATTTTATATCTATTTAAACTTAGCTGATGCTAATTTATGCTTGATTGCTTGTTTGTTTTGCATTATAGGCTTCTAATAGTTTTCATTGTTAGGAAATTAGTCGGTTTTCAATTGATTGTTTAAATGAGACAATACCTAATGTATTTTATTGAACTAACTTTTGAGATGACGGTTCTATTCCACCAGCTTTGACTCAAATTATTACGAGCTCCTTCTGCTTTAAGACCCAGAATTTTATCTCATATATCTACTTTATAAAATTAAAAATTAACGATTACATAAACTGAACTTTACCATAAGATTTGGTGCTTGGGGTTTTGGGGTTTTGGGGTTTTGGGG